TAAGTTAATGTATTTCTAAGATAACAGTATATTTTATTTTTAAACCTATTTTTTTGCACAAAACTGCGGCAGTTGTGGGATTGCGAATATCGAACAGGGAAGAAACGAGGAATAAAAAAATACAGAAAAACTAGGCGACGCGGAAGTTAGCTGCAGAAAGGACGAGGAACAAAAATTTAACATGCAGACATGTTCTAGGTTGGCGACACTGGCTGCCATAAAGACGAGAGACCCATTCCATGGCGTTGCCAACTCTTTTTTTATCGCACTGAAACTTGAAGAGTGGCCTTTTTTCGGATTTTTGTTACTTTTTTTTGCTGCATGGGAGGTTTGCTTCCGAGGTTAACTTTTTTATGTGAGAGCAAAAATTTGTTTTTGTGATGTAACATTAGACTATTCTCCAGATTTTTCGAAGGTAATTCCGCCAAGTTCGTTCACAGCCGCCACTTTATCATCACAATTGGCGGTTATGAATAATGCAGCTGTTCATAAAAATGTGTAATTAATAATCAGTGAGTGGCGGCAACCCTTGGAATTAATGCCATGTCAATTTCAAGAATTTTGAAGCGAAAGCTGGGTTATAAAAAAAATCTAAAAATGGGCTCATCATTGTTTGGTTTTAGAAAATGGCAAAAATATTTTGGGGTGACTTCCGCAAAAAATTTCTGAAAAAAACTCATTTACTTGGTTATCATGGACCCTCAATAAGTGAGACGTGCACCAGGGTTTTTCAGTCAGAAGTTTTTTTTTCTTTTATAAAATCCTATCCCTGAGGAAGGCATGTATGTACCCCAAATATTTACTGATTGTAAAACTGCAAGTTTTCAAACATGATGACACTCAAATTTGGATTTATACATGATTGGATCCTGAATTTAACTAATTTTCAATCATTTCCTCTACTGTATGTTTTTTGATTGAAATTGGTTCGAAATTTTCCATTAAAATGAAAGATTCACGTCTAAGATTTTTTAATCTATGCCGGTAACATTTTTTTTAAATCCTAACATTAACAGCATCTATCATGAAAATTCTAACATTTCTTTATCTATGACCCGAGCCCACTTATATAGTTCTTAGTGACTCTGAAACTGCAAGTTTCAAAATTAATAACACCCAAATCTGGATTTAGACATAATTTGATCCTGAGTGCAAGTAATTTTCAATTATGTCCGTTACAGTAAGTTTTCCTATTGAGCTTGGTCCAAAATTTGCCCTTATAATCAAATATAATGCACAACTGAACTTCTAATACAGTACTTTTAGAAATACATGCTGTATAGTCATCTATGACTCACACCCCCGTTTTACCCTCTCAATTTTCAGATAAAAAAAATTTGCATGTGGTACTTGAGTAAATACAGGACATCAACAAGATTTGATTTTTTTCTTGTGCCCAAGGATGTTTTTTTTCTGAATAATAATTGTTTTTAATCTCAGTTGTATGTCATCAATTTCTATTATAAGAACATTTTTATGCCCCTCTCTCTGACTCATTGTCACCTTTGTAGTACTTCACTCATCTTGTCCTCTGGACCTAGGAAACTTCAATAACTTCCACACCAACACACTACTTTATATTTTATATTCGTATTTTATGTATACGATACACATATACTGTATATAGATACATTTATAAATTATATATACATGTGGTACCTTGCAATTCAACCCTAATCCACTGCTGAACTATGGTCTAATTTTAAATAGGTCAAATTCTGAGACACTTTGTAAATTTTATTGAGAAGTTTCAGCACAAGAATGAAAAAAAGTGGCCGAAGCAGGTTTAATTCTGGGGTGGAGGTCAGTTTGCAAGTCAACCTCCCTTCAAATATTGGGCACAAAAGACCTCAATATAATTTGATGTCGAGTATTTGATTGATGAACAATAAAACAAGTTGATCAGTCCAGGACAGGACCAGGATTCCATTTTGGAATTCCTATATTAAAGGAATAAACTGAATTTCACACAAGTATAAACAAATAAATGGCTCAACCAGCTAGACTTGCAGGAATAAGATTGGGAATAACTTGAATAACACAGTTGAACTGAACTGATCTGATTATATTAAGAGAAGGGCTGCGCATATATGAAAAATAATAATTAACCTTCATAAGGTTTTACTTTACAATCAGAATAGGAAAAGTTATTGTCCAGGATGCTGCGGTGACAGGATGTTCGTGGCACTGCGATTTTGAAAAGGGGGAAAATACCTTTTACTTCTAAGAATCCAGTAGACTAGAGCATTTTACTTTACGTGGCGTGCATGCCCAACAGCAAATTTGACCATTGAATTACGGGATGGTCAAATTGCAGGAGGTAAAATTGCAAGTTGCGTATATTTACGCATGTTTTATTTTATTTTTTCTATTTGCATAGATAATAATATTTTACTGACCTGATGCTTCCCTGGTGTTCATACTTGCTCCTATAAAACCCGGCCAACTGGTCATTCAGCACAGCGTCAAACTTGCCAATCTCCAGCGAATATTGCATCCCGGGTCGCAAGTCCTCGCCCAGGTTCACAGTCATGAACTGCCTGGCCTTGTCGTACCCAATGTCCGTCACTGTGACCCGAGCCCCAGAGTCGACGTTCTCGACAATGATGGAGGACTCGTCGACGACGATTTCGAGCAAGTGCAGTGTCACATTGCGACCAGGTGAGGTGCAGCTCATGTAGACCTTGACGTAGCCGTCGATGCGCCAATTCTCGGCTTCTTCCACGAATGGCAGAAGACGGACGTCGTACATCAGGGGCTTGAGGTGGGTGGGGAGACGAACGTCCTTGAGCAGCTGCGGGGGCGAAGCGGTAGATGGCGACACTGCAGAGACACATGCACACATGAAATACATTTCAGAAATGTGTACGCATGCAGCAAGTTGGAACCTGCTCACAGTGAATTTTGAATAGTGAACTTGAAGAAAAATTTGACAGTTGGTCAATATATTTTCATTTGAATAGTTATATAGAGCAGTGGTGCCCAACTCAGAACTGTTGACAGGACACATGGCAGAGAGGACAGTCTTTGTTTTTAAATTACCTGATTTTTCACATTTTCAGTTTACATTTTATTTTACCTTTTAGCTAGAAACCTCAGCAAAATGAGACTTTCTTTGCATATTCCAAATATTTTTGATTCTAAGAATTATTTTGCTCCCGGAGAGCAAAAAACTGCTTTTTGCAGTGGAAGTATGAGAGAGACCAGAAGTGTTTTCAATTATTCAAATATGGTCTGTTCTATACTGTGCTGATCTCAGAGATACTTGCTGATCTCAGAGAGCCAATACTCAACTTTTGCAGCCTTATGTGGTATTTTAAACACAATGATGGATTGCAATGTACATATACATTGCAATGAACCATATCCATGTCTGTTTCTATCAATATCCCAACCACTGCCACTGTTTAGCCAATTTGTATGGTGCATTATACCTGTAATTTTTATTCAAGGTTCCAGATATTGGCTTGTAAATTTGATTTGAAAATAACTGTGATACTGTTGCAAGGTTGTAAGAAATGACATCCCACAAATTTTGATTTAGAAGGCAATCACATGCATGTGATTGCCTTCTAAATCAAAATTTGTAAAAAAAAAATTGCAAAGTTTTATTGCAAGGTTGTAAGAAATGACATCCCACAAATTTTGATTAAGAAGGCAATCACATAATCACATTCATGTGATTGCCTTCTAAATCAAAATTTGTGGGATGTCATTTCTTACAACCTTGCAATAGTATCACAGTTATTTTCAAATCAAATTTATAAGCCAATATCTGGAACCTTGAATGAGAATTACAGGTATAATGCGCCATGAAAAATGGCTTAACAGTGGCAGTGGTTGGGATATTGATAGGAACAGAGATGGATATGGTTCATCATTCTTTAAATGAAGCATCAGGTATGTACTGTACATCGCATGACAGTAATTTCAGTACAGGTGCTTGCCACAAGCTGCTGCTATTTTCAGTCAAAAAAAGACCACCAGGTGTATGTTCTTTTTTTTATTCAGTAAAGAAAAAGACAAGCTTTTGGGGAACTTTATGATGACATCTTAAATTTATGTGCACTTCTTCCGTATGTCATGGACTGAAATATAATAACTTTTTCAAGACATTCAAGCTAGAGCTGCTTGATGGTATTTTCAGCACCACAAAAACTTGGAAAATTGAAGCTAAATTCTGCATTTTTCATGCAGAAGTGAGAAGTGCGCTTTTTTTGTAGCATTTGTCAATTGTACAGTGGCCCCTGCCTAACAGACCTCCCATGTAAGGGATTTTTGCCAAACAGACCAGCTCTGCAAGCAGTTTTTCCTCCCGCCCAACAGACAAAATCCGCCAAACAGACTTTTTTTGGTTTAAAATTAGTGTTGAAAATTGAAATTCTTAATTTTTTATGTAATTGAATTTGTGTAAAGGACTTTTTGTCTAACAGACACGTCCCTTGCACAAATCAAGTCCGTTAGAGGGGGGTTGACTGTATTTGCATTCTTACATCCATGGCCAATGAGTTTCCTTTTTTAATAAATGAAGAATTTGTATACACCATCAAAATATCTTTTTAATTTAATCTGCAATTCTCAACTAGAGTATCATAAAATTATGTACAGAATGAATGAGGCATTTAATCAAGTTGGTCCAATATTATTTTATTGCCATAGTTTATTTATACAGTATCAACAGACTGAATGTCCCATCAATTCTGCAAACAAATATGTTTCAGGTAAAGTAGAAACCCCTCGAATGAATTTTCTTCCAATACAATAAAGGTTGTACCTCACAGTTCAACTGTCCTGCAATTTAAACATCCCACCATTTGACAATTGAAGTTGCAAGGGGATTGACTCACAATTTGACCCTCACCCTGCGATTTTACCTACTATGGCCATTTTTCTTGCATTTTCGTACTGGTATTTTTGAATTGATTCCCTGTCTTTAAAACTTGGATAGTAACAACTGAAATATTAACAAGTTGTACACTGACACCTTGCATCCAAAACAACTGGGATAGCAGCAACTTGCACAGTGCAACAACTTGCACACTTTTTTAAATACTTTTTTGAATATAATTTGTCCATTCATTCTTTGCAGATTGTTCCTTGTCTGGAGGGCGTTTGAATGTATGCTAATTCCTTGGAATTAGGACAGTGTCAGATAGCCCATGTGTTTCAATTCACTGTTTCAACCTACATGAAAGTGGTGTAAAGGTATTCTTTTTCAAAATCCTTATTAATTTTAATTTTAGAAATCCAAGGGCTCACACCTCCTCTGAATGCCATTTAGAGGATATTAAATACCACCTAAAAATACTCTAGCTAAGTTAGTCAAATGATGAATACCCCTGAGGATAACTGATGAAGTTATATTGGTATTTTACATCATTGAAACATAATTGTTCCCTGACTGTTTTTTTTTTTCAAGGAATGAGTATATATTCAAACTCCCTCCAGACAAGGAACAATAATCTGCAAAGAATTAATGGAAAAATTATCTGCAAAAAAAAGTGTGCCAGTTGTTGGTGTGCAACTTGTTGCTATCCAAGTTGTCCTATAACCTTTTTGAATTTCATGAAATGTCTCGCAATTTGACTGCTTTGCAATTCAACCCTATAGTTTGGCAACAAGTTAGGGTCAAATTTAGAGGTACCACCTGTACCCCCTCCCTTTGTTAGAGACAACAATTTGAAACTAGGTTGAGAATTGATGATTTTTCTTGGTTTCTTTGAGATATTCGAAATAACTGGTTCAAATGCAATCAGCCAGGCTGTGGCCAGGGTGCTTTACACCCTAGTGTAAGGTTGATGTATTTTTTTAGGTTTTGACAGAATTGATTTCAAACAGCAGTTTCAACGGACAGTCTTTTGCGTGAGATAACACAGAAGCAACTGATGATGACATATGGAAACATTCCACTATTTAAACAGTTTTCTTTCTATTGCAATTTTGTCCCTGAGCTTTATTCTTTCAGAAGGATTTCCCCAAGAATCCCAAATCTCATGGGAACTCGAGGTCAAGCAAAGTCCCACGGGTTTCCCAACCCTCTCGAAGCATCGCCGTTTTCCTGTCGTTGATATAATCCTATTGTATTTTAGACTATTACTAATTTCTTTCCAACACCCCTCTTAATTTAGTGTCACAAAATGTGCCAGGATGACAAATGATGTCACTGAATCGCGGTTTGACTACTGTAAATAATTTACTGTATATTCAAAGTGTGCTTACTTGTGGTGGCGAGGACAGAGTCGTCATTGTCGCCGCCAACGGGGTCGGCAAAGTTGTAAACGAGTAGCCCGACGGCGACGGTGGCGCCTACGAAAAGCGCCGCCAGTCCAACTGCCAACGGCTTCGAAATGCGGATCTTCCCGTCGGCGTCGGTGCCGCAATGACCGCCGTTGCTCGTTCTTTTCGTCGTTTCCATGGCAAACAAGGGACGATAAAACTCCGCGTCACTACTTATTTTTATTTTTTTATTGCCACCAGAAAATAAAAACCAATTAAGTGAATCAGAAAACTTTTTTTTTAGATAATTGTTGTAATGCGATAGGGTTGTCCCAGTTGGACGCGGCCTCTGACATTTTCAGAGTATAGGTGCGATTATGAATTTTAATTATTTTTAAACATTCCCCATATAATATTCTGGGGTTTTGGAATTTTTTCAAGAATATTTTAAATTTACTGCAGGGATGATTAGTGAAACATTTTCAGTTACAGCCAGTGTTCTTCTATGTCTTGTCAGGGTGCAAAAAAATTGCAAGGCCAGCTAAAAAAAAATAATTGTTGTTTCAACTATTTTCTTCGTCGCTACGTGTTAAATATATATAGTTAAGGTTTCTTCCAATAGGGCAGATGATATTTGAAGAAGTATTACTGACAGAAAAATGAAATGAGGGGGGGGGGGGATTCAAGCATGCGGATTCATTTTCACTGGACCTCGATTATATGTGATTCGATATAGTGGCTTATTCGAACCCAACATTGCCCGCGAATAATTTAATCTTTAATGCATTAAAGGCTATTTGGACTTTATTCACAAAATTTAAGTGCCATTCTCTGCGTAATGCATCACTATAGTCGGATTGCATAAAATATGTTTCATGAAATTTGAAAATAAAAAGACTGACGCCAGTTAGAAAGTTGTCCCATGAAAAAAAACTGCAAAAATTCGGGCTGAATTAACAAACTTCGGAGTTTTTTTTTTATCAAACTAAGAAAATAAATGAGTTTTGAAGTACTGTAGTATATTTTATCTTTTTCCCGTAAAAGTTTGGAATTGAAGAGAATTGGAAGCCTAGAAGTGTCAGGATTACTTCAATCAAATAGCAATACAATTTAATCCATATTTTCATGCTACTGTAATGCCATCGTATTAAAATCTTGCAAAGGAAGTCCTTTCTGCAATTTTCTATGGAAGGGCTAATGTCAAAGTCCTACATCTTGAAATTAGGTATTTTTCAAATAGAATGAATGGTTCATTCTTTGGGCACAAAATCTTAACCACGTGTTTTTTTTTGTTGCGTATATGACGAATAATGGGATAAATCCGTCCACTATCAAAACAGGCTGTTCTCACAGCCAGGCTCAATGTCGCGTACTTCTAGTATCTCTTTTGTCAGAACATAGATGTCGCTCATAATGTTGAAGCAAAGTTGAGTGCCTATCTGTCTAAAGTTCGATTTGTTATACGAGTTGTGAAGGTTGTATTTCATACTTGTTTTCGATTGAGTCTGTTCTGAGTTACATGTATTTAATTCGAAGGTTATTAAGATTGTTAATTTTCCGAGTATCACGACTCAGGCGACACCTGCCCGGTATTACAGAAAGCAAGCTCAGGTAAGAAGGTGGAAATGAGGTTCGTCATCGGCTTTGCGATAGGTTCAAATTTGAAGTTTGTGATTGTGAATTTCATTTCTATTTTATTGTCCAGCAATGAGAAAGTACAGTGAGACCCCCCACATGTGGACACCCAAACCTGCGGACAATTTGACATAGGGACACTTATTTTATCATAAAAAATTAATAAAAAAAGGCCCAACATGAGGACACTGACTCAACTTAGGGACATTTTGTGATAAAATTGCAAATACATTTCAGGACAAATTACAAGAAACAGATATTTCCAACCCTAAAATTGATGTAAGAAAAGTTCTTGGGCATTTATCTCACCAATTTACCACCCATTTAGCTAATTTTAAAAAATTACTTCCAGAATAGAGGGACTTCTACATTTTTTTTCACTTGAATGTTATTTTTGTGGATACCAACATTTCAATGTACAGCACAGAGATACACTATTCAATTCTCCAAAGGTTCTTATGGAGTTGAAAATGTATTCATTAATTCAAATTCAAGTGAAAAACAAATTTTTTCAGGGAATTCTGAAGAACATTTCTCCCATAAAACACCAATTAAAATTATATAATGTAAGTCTATGGGAAAACAAGATTCAACTTAGGGACAATTGGACTTGGGGACACTCTTGATGCACCAATTATGTCTGCATCTTGGGGTCTCACTGTATACTTCACATTTCTATAGGTAGGATGAGCCAAAAGTAAAATTTATTGAAGGTTTGGAGTTTTTTTCATTCAAAATTCTCCGAATACCTTCTCTATCAAAAATGTTGAGCCGTTTCCGTTAAAAGAGTCAAGATTGTTCTGCAAATTTTAAGTTACCGGGAAGTGTCACGTATCTTATGATTTCACGTTATATTAATTCTTTACTAACAGGAAAATGTGAGAATAGTATGTAAAATACAAAAGAAAGCAAGAGTATGAGTGCCAAAACACTTCATTGTTTATTACTTTTTCGTAGATATATTTTGCATAAAATTGGAATGGATTTCGATTCCTTTCTCTGTGCTGACGATGAGACGTCTTCCACTTTGTTCAGAACAGTTTCCACCATCAGGAATAATCATTTGAGCAAATATTTGAATTGAAAACAAGCCATGCGACGAATAATGAGTCAATTTAATTAGTTGCCGCTGCGCAATAAATAAAGCCTACCTGAACAAATGACAATCTTTTCTTCGAATATTAATGATTTTAATTGCATGAGAAAAGTGTTGAAGTAAATGCATAAAGTACGCAGTTTACCGGGAATAATTAAAATAGTAAACCTGAGCACGGACTGTATTTACAACTACTTTTTGAACGATAGTCTCAATTCAACTAAAAAATGTGATGTATAACGCAAAAAATAATCCTTGAAATTGAATTTATCGCACAATATGAATTAACATAAGTCAAGTCAATTCACTTTTGCTTATATGAGCACTGATTCACCAAGTTTTCATCATATTTCACGTGTTCATGCATTCTAAAAAGTTGGTTGAACATCGATACACGTCGTTGAGGAGTTTTCCGCACATTTCCAGAAAGTTTACTGGATTTTGGTGCTCGATTATAATCTGCAGATTTATGCACTTGGAAAAAATGAAGTCTTGCATGGATCGAAACACCTTTGAAAAATGTCCGTTAATTTTCAAGTAACCTGAGACTTGAATAATGTTGCATCATTATAATTCCCCGTATTTTTATTGTTTCATACTTCGTACGGTTTTTTTTTAAACCTTTGAGCTTTTGATGGAAATTATCAAGCATTATTTTGGTTATTTTCCCTTTTTTCGGGAAAGTGACGTGCTTCTTTTCGTGTCCCCTCCGATTTGACTGTAAACAAAAACTCATTTTCAATCGAGAAAGAACAAACATTCGACGCTTTTTGCTTCGAATGCAAAAATTTTCGCGCGATTTCCGTGCGTCACGTTTCAAGTCCCGTTAAATTGGGCACAGACAGAAAGTGGTTTTCTTGCCGTTTATTTCATAATTAAATTTCACATTTTCCAATCTCTGAAAATACGGTCAAAAATCGCCGTCAAACTCTTCGTTCGCTTTCTTTTTTTTAATAGCAAAGTAGCTGGAATTTTCGTGCGCTGCTGCTGCTCAGATTTTTCAAAGTCGCGTCTTTGAGAAGAAACAAAAAAATTAACGAAATTTTGTTAAAGAATTCGCGTCAAGTTCCTCTCTAGCAATTCTCTGCTCTCTAGCGTTATTTCTCTCTAGCAATTTTTTCGACACTTTTCTGCACTTCACTCACACTTTTTTGAATTTGAGATAGATGTCACTTGAATCAGAATCCAGTCCCAAACACACTCAAATTAATTCTGACTTACGAGACTGAGAGTCTTCGAGCTAAACATTATTATTGGAAGAAAAATTGTGTTTTAGGTGGTCCAAGATGAAAAAAAAAAAAACTGAATTGCAAGTTTTCAAATGTTGTAGTTCGAAGAAGTGTTACCCATAAACTGCTGCGATTGGCTCATATACAAGGTCATATTTCAAAATCACTCATCATAATTTCTTTGGTCAATTGAAAGTGAAGCACTTATTTTAAACAGAAATTTTAAAAATTCAGAAAGAAGCACAGCCCTACCTCAAAGGAAGATGGATAGCGAAATTAAGACTCAACGAAATGCTTCCTTCAAGTAATTCAAAGTGGGGTAAAAAGATGAATTCGTATTTTTCTTCAAGCTGTGACAAACCTTGCCAATTTGAAGACTGAAAATCAGATCCGAAAAATTTTAAAAATTTATTTTAAAAAGTTACTTCCATGGTTTTTAAACTCAAAAGACGAAAGAACGAAGGAAAAACATGTGAAATCTTGCCTGCAAGATTCATCACTTTCTTTGCTAAAAAAAAATTTGTCTGAATTCCGAATATCGAAAAATATTTTGACGTTTCTTCTCACAGAATCGAATGTTTAACGATTTTAAAATTTAATTTACTGATTTCAACTCGCGCAAGAACCGACGTGGGTAATAATAATAAAAAAGGAGAAAATGAAACGGAAAAGTCACTGAACTGCACAGCGGCGATCAGAAGGTGATGCGTTTTCTTCGCGTCGTTTCACGGAATTTTCGAAATCACGCGGATTTTATTATATTCTTTTTTTTTCAACGGTATTTTAAAAACGCTGCATTATTTATTTATTCAAATATAATTTTGGTGGGAGGCGTTGAGAGTTTTGGGGTTTGCACCTGAGAGAAAGTTGAGAATTGCCGGCCAGAATGACGGCGGGGCTGTTGGTGAAATGCTGGTCGTCGCGAGGAGCAGCAGACGCGGAATGCGGTGGAGTCGCGGGGAGCAGCAAGAGAGGAGTCCGCTCGTGGGGGACTGATGCTCTTGTCGTTGCTCCTCCTGCTCCTGCTCCTGCTCTTGCTCCTGCTCCTGCTGTTGGTGCTTCGGCGGGGGTGGTCGCGGATTCACGTCCTCGCGTCATATTGCCGCTCCCTCTGAGTGTTTGTGTTTGTGGCACTATATAGATCAGTAATTCCTTGCTTTCTGTGGCGTTTCTTCTTTGATACTGATACAGCTGGTTTCTTCCCTTTTCTTCTTGTCTTCTTCAACTACTGCTGTGGATAAATTTCTTAGTCAGCTGAGTTTGAGGTGATAAAGGGACT